CTGTTTTTCCTTCCCACCTATCTTAAATATTGTCACCAATTTTCTAACACCACTTTCCCGGTGCCTTCGCTCAGTTCAAATAACCTTCAATGGCTGTCTTCCCAAAGCCTAAAGCTCTAATTCAAGAGGGGGTGAAAAATAACAACTTTAGAAACAACAATTAATAAAAACCTTTTTGGTTTCATAATATAAATTACCAAAAGCAAGGGCAACTGGATAGCAGAGCATGGATTAAAGTGGAATGATAAAATCCAAATTCCTTAATTTTGCATTCTGTATCTTTCAGAATCCAGATCTACGTATTTTTGGTCTCAATGTTCGGTTTAGAACATGTCCAGAGACCAGCTCGAAGTCACCCTTAATTATGTTTCAACTGCTCTCAAATCAATTTCTAGCCAGAGTTTTCTGTGCATATCCTCAAAGCCTTACTTAACCAACCACTAAGCCAAGTATTTTTCCATGAAAAATGGCCCTCAAGTGAAAGGTTTTAGTCTCACTTCAGTTACTGCATTGCGATGGAGATGCACTGACAACAGCAAACAGTAAAATTACAACTTATTAAGAGATGAAAATCAGGGCTTACTCATAAATAATGTAAACAGCAATGTTAAACAGACAAGTGTCAGTGATCTAGAAACCCTCTCTTCCAGGTAGGCTAGTCTATGCTTCTAACCCTGCTCTGCACATTTCTCACCTTTATCTCACATCAGTCCTCTCAGTAGCCCTGAATCTTCCAAACTTATCTTAGTTCCAAAATCACAATATAATTATTTAATAACCATATACATATATTTTTTAATGCTAAACATTTTTACCATCGCCTGTTAGAGACCCCCAGTGATCTGGGTGGGTGAGGCCACCTCTCCACTCTCCCACTAGTTTTTCTCACTAGTCTTACACTAGATTCTCCGACACAAAGAGCTCATTTCTGCCTCAGGGGTTTGCCTGAAGTTGCTTGGAAATTTTTTATCTCTGCAGCTCAAATCTAACCTTCTAAGCCTTTCTTAGTGTTTATGGGGGCTTAAAAAGCCCCCATAAATCTCCATCATTCTCTATGCCATTATCCTGTTTATTTTCCTCATACCACGGCTATTCTGGGTTCTTTATTTATGTGCTTATTATCTGTACTCTCCCAAGGGGGAGAACATGTGTCTTGCTTATTGCTATACCCTCAAAGCTCAGAATAGATCCTGTCTCTTGGTAGACAATCAATAATCGGTTGAATTAATGAACAAACTCTTGAATGCATTAAGAAATCCAGACATATTGAAAATGGTTAACTATCCACGACCATAATCACAATGCTCTTACACTTACTAATAGAACTAAAGTTTCCCAATAGGTATCATCAATATGGAATTAGGGAACTCTGAACAGGCAATATTCTTTCCCCTTTGCCTTCTAACCTCAGCATTCCAACACACAAGATTCCAAGAGAGTGCTGTCACCCCCTGAATCCCTAATGTTCAAAGACAGAACTCTTTTCTTTGTTCCCATACCAACACAAGATGAGCATGCTTTTGTCAATCATTAAACTTCCTGTGGCCAGGCACAGTGGCTCACGCCTGTAATCCCAACACTTTGGGAGGCTGAGGCCGGCGGATCACTGGAGGTCAGGAGTTCAAGACCAGCCTGGCCAACATGCTGAAATCCCATCTCTACTAAAAATACAAAAATTAGCTGGGCATGGTGGCAGGCATCTGTAATCCCAGCTACTCGGGAGGCTGAGGCAGGAGAATCACTTGACTCTGGGAGGCGGAGGTTGCAGTGAGCCGAGATTGTGTCACTGCACTCTAGCCTGGGCAACAAGAGGGAGACTATCTCAAAAAAAAAAAAAAAAAAAAATTCTGTTTAAAAACTTATTTTATATTTTTCTCTCTTGCCTCAGTTTCCCTCAAGTATGTCTTTTTCATAAAGAAAAAGATTGTTACTCCTCATCTTCTAAGACCTTTAACATGGCAATTAGTGTTTTGAGTAGTATGGGGGTGAGGAGTATATCAACATCAAAATATTATTCACAAGCATTACAATTGGCTTATTTTTCCCCATCGTGGAGAAGTGAATTAAGAAAAAAAAAATCAGACTGATTTTCTTTTAAGAAATGAACCACCTCTAACATCCTACAAGGCTATGAAGATTTCCAAGCAGGCAGTTTACACTACTTGATTCTTGACCTTTTATACCTAAAGGTCCTACTGCTAGTGGGACACGCTTTCCGTCCCCGAAGTAGCAAATACTTATGAATGCATCTAATTTATTATGCATTCTCAATCTCTAACAAACGTGATTTTTTTTCCCTTCCAAAATAATTTCCCAAGATGAAAACGGCAATAAAACAATGTGCCTAATAATAATATACAATCAGGGACTTAGGTGAAAGAAAGAACTAGAAAACTATTTTACAGACCATACATACAATCATGCCTCACTGAACAGTGGGAACAGGATCTGAGAAATGTATTGTTAGGCAATTCTGTCGTTGTGCAAACATCAGTGTACTTACACAAACCTAGATGGTAGAGCCTACTATACACCTAGGCTATATGGTATAATCAATTGCTCCTAGGCTAACCTATACAGAATGTTACTGTAGGCAACTGTAACACAATGGTATTTGTGTAGTGCTTATCTAAACATACCTAAAATACACTGTACAAAGGATTAAAAGATGGCACACGTGTACAGGGCATTGGCCATGAATAGAGCTTGCAAGCCTAGAAGCTGCTCTGGATGTTAGTAGCAAGTGAATGTGAAGGCCTAGGACACTACCATGCACTACTGTACAACTTACACTCTACAGTTAAGCTACACTAAATTTATCTTTAGATATATTTCTTCAACAATAAATTAACCTTAGCTTACTGTAACTTTTCTATTTTATAAACTTTTTGGCTCTTTTGTAATAATGTTTAACTTAAAACAAACACACCTTTTATAGCTATAGAAAAAAATTTTATATCCTTATTCTATAAGCTTTTTTCTACTTTTTTTTTTTAAAAACGTTTGTTACAAACTTAAGATACAAACACATTACCCTAGGCCTACACAGGGTCAGGATCAAGACGTCGCTAGTCGGCAGGAATTTTTCAGCTCCATTATAACCTTTCGGGGCCACGGTTGCATATGCGTCTGTCCTTGACCTAAAGGTCGTTATGCGGCACGTGACTGTATTTTGATTCTGTAACCTAAAACATATCACTTTTGAAAAACTGTATTTCTAAGCAATATATATGAAAATGTCTGTCTCAAAACACTTCTCTATGTCTCATGGTAAATCTGCCACGAATTCAATTAGCCAATTCCTGGCAAGGAATCCACAGGTTTTCCCTTCTTTAGGAATGTCAACCATTTTGCCTTTTATTTTTTTCTTTAAGATTCAATTATGATGCACTAAGAGGCTGGGCCAAGTCCACACTAACATCAATTCCTCCGACCCTGCAGCTGAAACCCTGGCAGAACTACGCCCCCTCGGAACACAATGCCCAGATCCTCTCTCCCTAGCTCGGTTTAGCTCGTGGGGAGCAGTCCACATCACACCCCGGTGAGCTGGGCGGTGGCAGGACTTTACCAGAACTCTCTCCTTCCCGTTTCTCCACGCACCACACCACTGGAGGCGCTCTCCCTTCACTGCGGTTGGGTCAATGTGGACGTTTTCCACTCGGCCAGCTCCCCACAAGCACAGGAGGGGGAAGGGAAGCGCAAAGGGGCCACCCACGCCAGGCAGGAGGTGAGAAGGGCGCCCAGGGCCGAATGCAGGCCAACAGACCCGCAGCACAACTGCACCTTTTCCAAAGGAGCAACCCAGACGAGTAAACAAAAGCACCTCCTTTGGTCTGGGTGCCAAGGCCTTTCCTTCCTTACTTCGAA